TAAACTATGGTTACATGTTCTAAATCTCAATAATGGTAAAGAAATGCGTTTTGGAAGGAGGAGATATACATAAAAATTGGGAAATGGCTTTAGGTGCTGAAAGTGTATACCCTTAGGACTAGAAATAATGTCATTGTGCCAGTTTTGGATAAACTGATCTTTAAGAATATGTTCAACTTTTGAGACCAGCCACTGGGTAGTACAAATTGAGGGATTTTCAAAAACAAACGAGAGTCCAGTATTGTCTAATATATTTTTAACGTGCGAGATATTTTTTATCTATTGATCTGTGAAGTGATAAATACTTGTAAATTAAGTTCGTAAGCTTAAAAACACCTTCTTGGTAAGTTAACTTCTGCCAAACGTTTAATGAACGTTTATAAATCATAATTCTAATTGGGAATCTTCCTAGTTCCCCATACAGCATGAAACGAGGGGTTGAATTTCTTAATCCTGTAATGAGTCTTAAGAATTTTAAATGAATTTTCTCCAAAATTTCAAGGTTTTCGAAAGACCAGACTTCTGCACCATAGGTCAAGATAGGTATTACCATTAAGTCAAATGCTAACCATAAACAGTCTAAAGGCAAGTCTAATTTTCTAGCTTTTTTCACTAAACTATACATTGCTTTTGAGGCACTATTGCTTACAGTTTTAATACTTGATACGAGTTTTCTATTTCTATGGAGCGTTATACCGAGGTAGGTATAACTATCAACTATTTCAAGTAATTTCCCATCCAAACGAAATTTATTTTTTGTGCTTTTTGATGGTCCTGCCCCGAATATTACTATTTTAGTTTTGTTTATATTCACTTTTAGCTTCCATGAATCACAATAGTCCTTAAATGAGTTCAAAGCATCTTGTAGTCCCTTTGACGATTCATCAAATAATACTGTATCATCTGCATATAACAAAATTAACAACTTTACAAATATAACCAAATCTTCGTCTTCAATATAGTTTAGATTTACACCATTACAGTCTGAAGTAAGTAAATGAGTTTCAATATCATTTATGAAAATGGAGAATAGTAAAGGTGACAGATTTTCCCCTTGTCTGACGCCGTTGTTACATGAGAAGTAGTTTGATACATCATTATTACATTGTACAAGTGATTTGATATTGCTATACATTGATTTGACAAGATTCAGGAATTTGCCCTCTATACCAATCGTTTGCATTTTTTTCCACAATCCCACTCGCCAAACAGCATCGAAACCTTTTGTAAAATCTATAAAGGCACAATAGAGTTTTTGTTTCCGATCTTTCAAAATTTGCATCAGATTATAAATTATAAATACATTGTCAACAGTAGAGAATGATTTTCTAAACCCGGCTTGGGCAGGTGTTAAAACATTATTAGTATCTAAGAAATCTGAAAGGCGGTTGTTTAATATTTTAGTGAACAATTTTCCGAAACGACTAAGTAAAGTGATTGGTCTATATGAGTTAGGATCAGATTTATCGCCTTTTTTCTGATAGATCGGTTTAATTATTCCCGTTAACCATGATTCTGGTAAAACACCCTTCTCAAATATGAGATTAAATAGTTCAACTAATAATTGAGCCAGCAAGTCAACACTATCTATAAAATACCATGTACAGTAAACAGGTTATTCTTCATATCATAACGTTCAGTGATAATTGTTTTTCCATCGACATGTATGAGGATGTTTTGTTACAGTCATGATTATATGTGAATCATCACCGACATGCAGTTGTTTATTTTTCATTTGTTTATCATTTATTTTAGAAAAAACACCAAATACTCGATGTATGGTATTGTATCAATCCAGCAGACAGGTGTAAACTATGTCCAAACATATTGTATATGAGGAAATCACATTTCAATTTCCACAATATTTTGAAGCTATTGAAATCATCAAACGTCAAACGATAACTCTTCAGGTCTCATAAAAATGAAAGTTGGGCAAGCCCTCAATACCACCTAAATATAAGGCTTTGCAGCCCATAGGGCTTACCCGAAAAAATTGGCTTGCTACGCGCCTGGCAAACGCACGAGAATTGCAATACGGCATTCTATCCACTGATTCTCCGTGACCTGGAGACACATGTGACTGAGCGTATGCTGGGACGTCGTCTGTCATACAGACCCTGAAGCAAATATATCAAAGCCCACGCAAGTCTACAAATTGTGGCAAGTCTAGATTTCCACAGCTTCAGGAGAAAGTCTCAGGGCTCCTTTTCATTATATTATAAATTTGTTTTACTATGAACTTTTCTTCTGTAAAATATACTCTCCCAAAAAAGAAACGCATTTAGGAATTTCAACTGTATTTTTATGATTATTTTTAAACATCTTGTAGGCTTTATGAGTCAATGAAATAAAGCGAAACTGCACACTAGGAATGCAGATATATCCGTCTTTGGCACCAACTCGAGGAAAGTCAGTTTGAGTGTCACATGGAGACGTGTGGTGGCGCTGAAGTCAATACCTCGTGTGACCACCGTGGGCATCCAGAACTGCACGGCATCGCCTCGGCATCGAACGAATAAGTCTCAGAATCTCGTGTTGCCCAATCGCAGCCCACTCTGCCTTTAGTGCCCGTGCGAGTTGCTGAAGTGTCTGGGGCTGAGGGTTACGGCGTCGCACCCGTCTGTCCAGGGCATCCCACAGATGTTCGATCGGGTTTAAGTCCGGTGATCTTGAGGGCCAGGGGAGCACAGGGGAGCCGAATCTGTCCACCTGGGGAACGCAAGCGTCGGCGAAACGTTCACGTCGACGTCTGTACGCCCGCATTCTTCCATCGCGTCGTTCCAATAGAAATCGTGATTCATCACTGAACCAGATTCTACGCCAATTCGGTAGGTTCCAGGCCTGAACGTTTGTGCACCATTGAACTCAATGTCGACGATGTTGTTGTCGAAGCACAGGGCCAAAATAAGGTCTTCTGGCACGTAACCCAGCCTCTCTCAACCTGTTCCTGGCGGTCTGTGCAGAAAGCCTCCTCAATCCGGGTATTTGTCGAGCGGTACTGGTCGCCGTAGCTGTTCGATGACGCAGGTGATGTACCCGGATGTAGCGATCCTGCGCCGCAGTGGTCGCCCACTACGAGGGGCATCTGCTACCGTATTCTGCCGGCGATATCTCTCCCAGAGCCGTGAAATGGTGCTTTGGTGAACATTCATGCGTCGGGCAACTGCACGTTGAGACTGGCCAGCTTCAAGCAAACCAATGGCGATATGACGGTTAGCTTCACTTAGACGTGGCATTTTGCGTTCGTCAACAATATTCCAAATACAGTGAATAATCGACAGACAGCGATCAACCTTTTATACCCATCATTGAGACTATCTGATCCCCAACTTTCACGTGCATTGCATGTGAATTGTGTATTCTGTGACACTACACGCCGAAATTGAAAATTATGCTGTTAAATATGGGTATTTTACGGATGGTGCGTTTTGTTGTGATGTTTCAAAACATAAACACCATAGGACTCATAAACAGAGCAAAACCTTTTTTGAAATGAATCACGTTTTAATACATTGCTACATGAAATTGCTATTTTCATGATGCGTTTCTTTTTTGGGAGATTATATGTTCATATCAGAGACTAGTTGTTAATCTAGTTCTGACGGGTAGAAGACAAAAGACAAAATGGATACTAGTGCTGTTACATTTTTTTAATTATGTATAAACATTCGCTGTGCACAGATCGATGTTTTGGTCCAGTGTACCGGTGTCGGTGATTCAGATAAAAACGATCCGAAAATATAACATCAAAGAATTTCTATTCCATTATCAGAATAATTTATATGTCAAGCAGTTAATCTAACAGAGATCATCGTATAAGTAAAATGCATGTTTTCTACGAACATATTTAACATAATACTAAGCATTGCTAAGCACTTTGGGTTACCTGGCTGGATACATTTTACGTAGGAGACAGTTTGACAAGTCACCGCTGACTTCCCGCGGTACGTGCCACTTTGATTGTAAAAAAATATGTTGGCAATTAATTGTCAAATATGACTTCAATGAGCCAATAACGCGGGTCTTGTACCAATAAATATGCTTGTCATTTAAACCTTTATTTGATGTTTGTGGAATGTGACTATATAATTGAAGATACTTCCTGCACCTGTAGCCCCAATATAGATGTTGTGAGTCTGTGAATCTTCCAAATTACTTCGTCTCTTATTTTTTCAATTGAAATTAAGATCTTTGCCTTTTATCAAAATAATATATTTTCTGTCTTAATGTGCCTATGTTGGGAATCAAACACCGGTTTTTGACCTGACAGGCGAACGCTTTAACCACGAGCGTACCCTCTCCTTCCTTGATACTGTTAAAGAATATACATTGGTACATTTACCGTTGGTTTATTGTAGGCGTATTGCAACACACTGGCGTTACTGTCACCAACATACACATGGTACAACAAGCGTTGGTTGTGTTAACTGCAATATTACAGCTGACGTCAAAACCAAGGGTGAAACATGCAGTCCTCTAAAATTCGTCAACAAGATAGGACGCATTTAAACCGACTTCTGTTTTTAGATAACCACAATCACTTTGATTTCATTTTGTTATATACTCCTCAAACTAAATTAAGGAATAAACGAATTGTTCATATTACTATTGTTAATCTATGCCGCCACTTCTTTTTAGTAGTATAACTTGGGTTAGGGATGCTTACATGTCGGATAAAACAGGTATCTAAGCACATGTACATGTACTGCATCACAGTGGCGAGATATGATATGACTGTTGCCATTACCATTAGGCATCTACAGTAGGGTGTAGTAAGTGGACAGTGTATATCTCTGACATAATGACGTTCAGTTCATCATGGTCGTTGAGGTTGACAAAGATATAACAGTCCGGTATGCATTATTAAGTAGACATTAATCAATGAGACTGTCGGTTTAGACAGGTTCCCCATTTCTGCTTTATGACGAAAAACCAAACACAGCCAAGGACAATTACTAAGAATATCACAAGAATCACAATCACTGCGATTACTGTTTCTGCCATGGTATGTGTTTATCCTGTACCTCTGGAATCTGAAAAAATAAAACGTATCTTCTTTCAGCATACAGTAGATACAGATCGGGCACAAAATGTAAAAAATGTCTCAGAAGGCGACATCGAGGATGATGCTGGACTCGAGTAAGCGAGTGAGCATGAGCATCTATCTACGTAATTGGGATACGATAACATGTGTCAACCAAGTCAGCGAGCCTGACCACCCGATCCCGTTAGTCGCCTCTTACGACAAGCATGAGGTACTGAAGATCAACTCTAACCCGGATCTTCACGGGTTTGCTGTACTCAAAGCGGTCGGAGCCGCTGTACCTAAACAAAGACTTCATGCTGAGATAAACACGGACAGTGGAGTAGCCTTGACTGACAGTGATAAAGAATCGTCATGCCGAACACGAAGGACAGTGGAATAGCCTTGACTGACAGTGATATAGAATCGTCATGCCGAACACGAAGGACAGTGGAATAGCCTTGATTGACAGTGATATAGAATCGTCATGCCGAACACGAAGGAAAGTGGAGTAGCCTTGACTGACAGTGATATAGAATCGTCATGCCGAACACGAAGGACAGTGGAATAGCCTTGACTGACAGTGATAAAGAATCGTCATGCCGAACACGAAGGACAGTGGAATAGCCTTGATTGACAGTGATATAGAATCGTCATGCCGAACACGAAGGACAGTGGAGTAGCCTTGACTGACAGTGATATAGAATCGTCATGCCGAACACGAAGCACAGTGGAGTAGCCTTGACTAAATGTGATATAGAATCGCCATGCCGAACACGAAGGACAGTGGAGTAGCCTTGATTGACAGTGATATAGAATCGTCATGCCGAACACGAAGGACAGTGGAGTAGCCTTGACTGACAGTGATATAGAATCGTCATGCCAAACACGAAGGACGGTGGAATAGCCTTGACTGACAGTGATATAGAATCGTCATGCCGAACACGAAGGACAGTGGAGTAGCCTTGACTGACAGTGATATAGAATCGTCATGCCAAACACGAAGGATAGGTGTGTATTGTTGCTCACAATTTCAGTCACGTGATTGTCTAACCAGCCTCAGCTGCTATCATATTTATGGAATGTTGATCATAGGTGGCATCAAACACAATATATATATATGTACATAACGCAACATAAGGACGCACATGCGTACATATTGAACATTTACACCAAAGTTAAACAATAAGACAAAACTATAAATCTGGCTATTATTGTCCAGCTGAGCCAACCGACTCAAGAAACATCGAAAGTTACCTTGTTATGAAGTTTGAAGTTGTGACGAGCTACATGTATCTGTCTTTACAGTAACTTCTTTCAGATTCCTTGGCTCCTAAAATTCAAAAATAAAAATTTGGTAAGAAAAGATCAGAAGAGAAATTCGTCCCGGTGCCCGTGCTAATTATTAAACCCCACATATAAGGTCGAGTGATGTTTACCATCCTACCCACTAATCGGTGATAAATATAATTAATTCAACATTTACGAGCACATCGATACAAAACTTCAACATTGCCTCTGATTTATTTTGTCGCGGCTCTATCTTTCATTTGGCCTGTTACTAAACAATCACTGTTTCATTAAAACTAATACACTTTTAATCAAATATTTTAACATATAAAGGATGGTAATGGTGATCCTGTACATCAAGGGGATTAACATGTATAACCATCCGCCATGCTGCCATGATCCAGTACATCAAAGGGATTAACATGTATAACCATTCGCCATGCCGCCATGATCCTGTACATCAAGGGGATTAACATGTATAACCATCCGCCATGCCAGCCTGTGAGTGAGTGAGTGAGTGAGTGAGTGAGTGAGTTGGGTTTAACGCCGCGTTTAGCAATATTCCAGCAATATCACGGCGGGCCAACTTTTCACAAACAGATTTACACAACGCCTCACAAAAGTATATCGAGGTTTCCTGAAGGGTAAACAAATATGGCCGTATATCATTTGTCAACATAATATACCTGGGGCTGTTCACTCAGATATAGTACCTCAATCATCAGCGCCAGAGAATAATTAGTTTAACTATCGATTATGCAGCTCAGAATAGTCGCCTAACACAAGCATACTTCTACAAAACTACTATTGAGTTCCGATTGATCTAGAAAGTGTTTTATGTAATATGTATATAATCTGTTCAAATACTGAAATCATCTTACATCAGACATCAGTATGGTATTTCTACCTAACATATCCTATTTAAGTTCGGAATTTAACCACCTTTCCCCTGGAATAATGCATTAATGGTGTAATAATATCCATTCCATCGCGTTGTTTCGTTTTGGATCTTTGAACCGCTTGCAGCCAGTCTCGTGGTGAACATGTTCGCACTGGTTTTATCGACAAGCCACCTTTAACGAGCTGAAATATTGCTTGGGACAAAACAGCTACTCTACAGGAATTGTAACAAAGCTCTCACCTTAGGGTTTTGGTATAGCAAGGTGCCAAACATCGGACTGTATCAGTAGTCTTTTCCCTTTCCATTTTATATATAGTATATATAAATAGTCCTGACAGTAGCTATAAAAATAGACATGACATAATTGTTCAGTCAACACAGTCAGACGAATGCACAGACACACATTACATGGAAGTAAATTGAATGTAGAGGGTGCGGTGAAGCATGTTCATGTGTGTGCAAGAAGGCACAATACCAACTTGTTAAAAGGTGATAAACCTCTGCTTTCAGTACCAGGCACTTTATTACCGTCGTACCGGCTCGGGTAACACTACTACAAAGAGGCGTACATCAAACCGTATTACCCTCGAGAGAAGCATACAACTTATAACAATACCACTGATTGGTGAGAACTGTTTGCTACACCAAGAATGCCAATACCAGGACATTCCAACTGCATGTAGTGACCGTGGCTTCTTGCTACGTCCTCGAGTCGTCCAGGTATGTAAAAATTATCATGAAAATACTTCAGTAAAGTATTAAGTTTGCTTTTGGATTGTTTGTTCGATTGTTTGCCCAGTAACGAAAGCCACGAGGCAATTTGCATGGTTTTAATACAGCCTCAGGGTAGGGAGTGTTCATATTGCATCCCTATGTAGTTGGGTGGTTTGTTGTATAACGCCGCACAAAATAATATTACAGCTTTATGGCGGCGGTACGTAAATGATCGAGTCGGGACCAGACAATCCAGTGATTAACAGCATGAACATCGATCTACGCAATTGGGATACGGTGACATGTGTCAACCAAGTGTTCAAGCCTGACCACCCGATCCCGTTATTCGCCGCTTACCACAAGCATGGGTTGCTGAAGACCAATTCTAGACCGGATCTTCAAGAGGTCTTAATTATAAATACGATCTTTGTGAACGATGTTTTGACAATACTCTATCAAGTAAATGTGTACCTTGTGTACGGCATGGACAGTACTGCAAATATCTCCATCTAGGGTCGATTGTTACTGTGGTGAGAATATATCATATATTGGTGTAAATAATGGGTTTGAACAAGCCTCTGGAAGGCCGATGCACCTCATGCCAGGTGAAAAAAGCGATGTTTCTGTTTACCATTTAAACAGATTAATGTTTGATTAACTTACCTTTTTGTATCATAATACAGACGTGAGGGTATTTCCCTTTACAGTCCGTCTCCTCTGTGTCTGTTTCTTATAGTTTCTTGTGAATATATGTAAATGGAAGTAAATCTCACTACAGGCTGTTTTTTGTATTTGTGTTAATGTTTATTCAGGAAATATGACATAAAGGTGTGTCATTGAATATTTAATTTATTTTACAAAGTGATATATACATCGCTTCAAGTCCCCAGATCACAGAGTACATCACCTGGACATTCATCGAAATTGATCAAATGGTTTTAGTTCTTATCCCGATTATCTTATTAGATCTGAAGATGAAATGTATTAAGATGCTTATAGGGACTCGGGCTTGTGGAATGGAGAATATTAGAATCACAAGATTGCTGCAATGTGACATATTTTCCACTTAGGAATAAAAAAGAAAATGTGCTAAAATCGGACCACTCTCCGATTCTGACGATACCATAACGAGTTCTTCTCAAGCTGTGTTTATATACATATGTTTCATCACATATTAACTAATCATATTCACCGATTCTTTATAATGCACTCGGGGGAACAATGAGATCTCTGCTTTCAGATATCGGCTGTTATGAGTGCCATCAGTGATACTATGCATGGTTAGATCCTAGTAGTTGTGGTAATGAACTGTCTGTCTAATGCAGATGTGTATATATGTTATATCCCCTCATTTGTTGTTCCTGTTCAAGAAGATGGTCCTTCCAATGCACTGAGGACATCTTCGGGAAGATACTGCTTCAGACACTCCAGCGTGTACGTCCACAATTCCTCCTGGAACTTTTCATTCCTGAAATGTTGAAGTTATTCTTTCCGTTACTGGAAAAAGGTTTGGGGGGATAACAGGTACTGCATCTACTATAGGTTAGGAGCGTTTTGTGAAAACGGTAACCAATCTTTACCTGGCATCACTGGACATGAAAGCTGGCTTACAATCAACGAGACAGACACCACTCAATCCCTTCTTTTCGGGATTTACTGCAGCGTCTACCATAGTTACCGACCCTTGGAAAGGAGTCCGCAATATTCCTAAAAATAAGCAATCAGAAGAATCAAGAAACTGATGTGTAAAGGGTTTACCCGAGCATGTTTTGAGAGACAAGAACAGGATTTCAGTTAAGTCGCGGCGTGTAAGCTCAATGTGAAAGTATAACGATGTGCATGCACAAGAACGTTGGCACTATAAAGTTTAAAGACATGTTTTTAGGGGCGACCTAAAAGACTAGTAAAGAAGCGTGGAAAGGGACCAAAATCTACCAGTCTACGTTTGGGAGCCACGACCAAGGGTCGACACTCGCAACATTCTAACAGTGTCTAAAATCTGGTCTACATGTCCATTATGGATACTATATGGGGAGAATGTTGCTGTCGTGACCCGGTTGGGGAGCACGTGTCCATATGCATTTCTTGAAAGCGTGGAACTATGCTCACTTCATTGATCGCTGGTTTGCCTGTCCAATTCATTCTAAAGGCGTGCTTTACGGGGGTGACATAAATGACTATCCAGTCCGTGCATCTTGGTGATTGTTACACTTACGTAAAGTAGACACGGCCCCAAGGAAAAAGGAATACAGTCGTCGCTTCTGATAGTGCCTCCCTATCTCTGTGTTGACTACACCCGGATGAAATGACATCACTGTCAGTTGTTGTCCATGCTGACGACGTAGAAGGCTGAACATGTGCTGTATCTGAAAGTTGAAAGACATTATTGTCACTTATAAAATATATAAATGCACCACAGTCAGTCTGGGAAGGATCGTCAGTTAGGCTAAGGGTCCGTGTCACCTTTACATGCGGCCCTGAAAGCGAATGGACTTCTCACAGGAAGCGTTGCCTTGTCAAACCACCGGGCACATTTCAGAGACAGCGTAGCCGTCTTTATACCCCAGGGTGTCAAAAGGAATGTGTTCCTAACAGTACACCCACGTACGTACACTCCCTGTGTCAGTAAAGAGACTGGGAAGAAGAACAACGGGGGAGTCGCACGACTTGATGCATGGGATACAAACATGATATTTCGTAAGCGAAGTCCATATATTTGTCGCATTTTCTTCCTACATTTTGTCAATCACATTAGGGTCAAAAGGGACAGATAATTCAATGATGTAATCACTTCATTTGTGGCTTCAAAAACGACATGACCAGGTTTGTTGGCTTGGCTACGGCTCAAGAATGACTGACTGACTGAGTTTGGTTTTACGCCGCTTTTAGCAATATTCCAGCAACATCACGGCGGGGGACACCAGAAATGGGCTTCACACATTGTACCCATGTGGGGATTCGAACCCGGGCCTTCGGCGTGACGAGCCAACGCTTTAACCATTAGGCTACCCCACCGCCCCTACGGCTCAAGATATATACGGACCTGTTCCAGAGAATTCTATTTATTTCGAACCATGGATGGACATCTGAGTCAAAACCACAAGCATGGTGGAGATGGTAATAATAGGATCCAGCCACGCCATCGTCACCGCAGATACTATGTCTGTGCTAACTCTGGGCATCCACTGGCATGTGTTTAGCAGTCTCGTTTAATGCATTACATAATAGGCATTTCATTCTTACACGACATTGACGTAAAATCACACATTGACGGTTGTAAGTGTGAAGCGACTAGTCCTCAGCAGCAAATAGAAAAAAAACCTTCTGTTTCACTTTTCAGACCAGCAGGGTTACCCTTCTCAACAGACTGCACGTAAAGTCGATGCAGCGGTTGTTTAAAGAGCCTTCCCTTGACAGCCATCAACATTATCAGCATTTACATTGTGATTCTGCTCAACGCCCTTGGTTGTTTTTGATGGCTGTAGAAAGCCTTGTTTTGTCTTGAGTTTTGGCATGCCCCACTAGGGCATCATCCAACAATTATACCACTAGGGTGTGTTATGTCCATTGTTCCGGCAGGTTGATTTTCTGCGTATCAACCTTCTGTCTGCACGTGCAGAGGTTGATATGTGGATAACGACCTGGTCGGTGCAGGAAACGCACGAGCAACAAGCAATTGTACGAGTCCATGCGGCGCCCTCGTGGTATAAGCAGGTTAGCACCCCCCCTCTGCGGGTGATATGGATTCAACGCTCTCGCCTGACGGCTCGAGCGTTGACATCCATATCACCCTTGAGGAGGGTGCTAACCTATACATACATGTGTGCTAAAATGAAGAGCCACCACGTTCATTAAAACACACCATCCCATTAGAATTGATAAAATGATTGATGGAAGAGCGAGGGTGCTGAGCTCCATTGTCTGAAATTAAATTTCTTGTGAGTTTTCTAATACAATTATGATTTCTTGTTTCTGCCAATCAACAATGGCAAAAGAATATGAGAGGAGGGGCACAGCAGAAGTATTTGGGGCTTTAACTTCGATACGAGCGTTCAGCTCAGATTTTCTAAAGTCAGTGCCCAATTGCGTAGATCGATGCTCATGCTGTTGATCACTGGATCTGCATCTCATTTCTCCCTGACATACCATGCCAATATCAGTGGAGTACTTTCAGGCACTTACCTGATATAACTTTGAGCTACCATAGTAACGCACTTTGTCAAAGTCTGATGGGTTCTGTGCTTGTGCCTTGTCCAAGTCAAATCTGGCGAACTTGTGAGCCGCACTGGACGTGAAAATAATTCTGCAGTCTTCTCCCGAGGTCTTCATGATAGGCAGCAGATGGGCGACAATCAGGAAGTGAGTCAGGTAGTTCACCTGCGATGACAAACACTAGGTTTGATGTAGACGGAATAGTCAAGGAGATAATGAATCAGCGTCTAACGTATCAACAATCAGATTTACGATCTGAAACTTCAGCGGGGAAGCGTTTTACCCACAGTGATACTTTTGTGAATATTATACAGTAAACATTTTAAAATAACTGTAATATATATAATTCATAATTTAGAAGGATGGAATAATTTATTACCATTGGAGCAACCAATATAATTAGACATGCAAGTGAATTAATTGCATGTGTCGCAGGTTCAGCACTCTTATTGTCCGAGACAAATATTAGGAGACGGAGTGGTTTTAAAAGCTGTTTATTTGCCTGTAATTAGAAACATCAACTATATGAAAGGTTGATATCTGTCTGCCGTCGTCCGAGGCTGACAGGTGACAACAGAAGGTGAGTTCAAATTGTCCTAACAGACAATAGATAAAATAATGGTTTAAGTAAAATAGGCAACATATTTATAACCACACGTGCTGTGCATGGTAGTAGCACGTTATCATGAAATGAACAGTCACAGATATGGCGCTAGGTCAGTGATCCGTGAAATACAGTGATCTTTACTGATATGAAATATACATGAATTATATACAATGTATGCCTTTCACACACTCTCTTACGTGCTATAATAGTGCAATGTTTAAGTTAGTAATAGCGATGAGCGGGATATTTACATTATACGCGACCAATACGTAGATTTACTAACTTTATGATTACATTGTGGGATTGGTAATTAAGTAACATGGTAGGTATAATTATTATACTAGCAACTAAAGGTAGATGTAAAATGAACATATAGGGAGAGTGCTTACCTGTAATTAGAAACATCAACAATATGAAAAGTTGATATCTGTCTGCCGTCGTCTGAGGCTGACAGGTGACAATAGAAGGTGAGTTCAATTGTCCTGACGTCACAGGCAAAAGCTCGTGAATTACCTGTGCGTCAGATACAGGTAGCACGTACAACTCCTCATTATTTGATAGTTGAGAGGCAGCCGTAGGACAGAAGAAAGAAGAAATACGGCTGCCGGCGACACATGATACGTGTATTCATTATGATAGATTATTATCATTAGTGACAGGCGTACATGCCGAAAACACCAGCTCTAACTTTGGAACAAATAATGTATCTTAGTAATTAAATACAAGCATGATTTAAATACCACCAGGAAGCACTTTCTTATAGGCTGGACGTTCACCAGCTCTTGCCAATAGATTCATTTGAATCTGTTGCCTGTAAATGCATTTGATTGTGAATACACGCATATTTTAAAATAATACCAGGAATCGCATATTCACGTACATATTCTTGCCTAATAAACGTCGTATTTACCTGGAACTGCAGCTCATATCCATCTTCAGTGATTTCTGAAGCCACAAAGATCACGTTGCCTCACAGTTTGATGCAGACATCGTGCGTGTGTGTGTGCATACGTGCGCGCGTGCATGTGTGTGAATGCGTGCATACGTGAGTGTGTAGAACCGAGGGGATGAGGCAATCCGGGCGGGATAAGGTCATTATCACATCCTCATCCATCAAGCTGACACAACGTGACATAACATTTTTTGTTTCAAACATTCCATTTGAACATAATATATATGTATCTATGCTATACATTACATGGAGTTATGCACTACATATATTGTAACGTTATCAACACTGTCAATTCTATAACGTTATCAGAAACTGTGTTAAATGATAACATTATTACGCTTACAGAAAACTGAATTAATGCAATTGCTATACGTGTGGCTGATCCCTTGTCAGGGATTATACGTACCTCTGTCAACTGCTGCGAGGCCAGCATTACACAACAAAACCTGGAGTTTCCGCCCGGAAGACTTGAATGCCTCTATAAAGTCCATCGTTGATTTCAGCGAAGCCAGGTCCAACTGCATGAACTCTACCGGGAGTTTGGCTCCATTTATATGTCCTTGCCTCAAGTTTACCGTCAGCTTTGATTTGTTCATAATCTTCATTCATCTTTTTGATTGCCTTTGATTCATAACAATATCCATGGTCGAACATCGATAACATTCACACTATACAAATCAAAGAACCTTTGTAAAAACGCCGCAGAGGGCACTATTAGATCAAAATAATACGGTGACCCTTACAACAGCAGCGGTACATGAAGATATTCAAGCGCAATGATGAGGATATAATTAATCATAATGTATGATCGGGTCAGATACTGAAATTTTCAGCTTTAGAATCGTTATTGTCATGAGGATTTTAATTTTATCACGAAAGAAAAATCGAACATTAGAACTTAGAAAGATTTATACAAATATGACATAAAGTAAGCATTTAATTGTTTTACATATTTTTATTTTGTGATTGCCAGGCAACTTACATCAGTGGCTCTTTGTTCGGATCGACAGGCTATTATGACGGTAGCCCCCATCATCGCTATATCGTCATATGAGCAGAAATATTCTCATGCACGACGATAAACCCAATTTCACCTCACCTCATCGCTATATGTTTTGCAGCTTCGTAGCCAATCCCTAGAAAGAATATGTATCACCTGTTATGAATAACTACTCATTATTTGTTAAATAGAAGCTATTGTAATGGTTGCACTATTGACCAGCATGCATACATACATACGTACGTATGGAAACTGAGGATTGCTTCCTTCGCTCGTGTCAATGATATTACGTCAGCCATCGTACCGGCAGCAGACGATAACACTCAAAGGGAAACAACTCTATTCACATTTACGCGGCTTTTGTGGTATATCGTGTGAGTATGGCAATAGCTGAGGGTCAGACTATGCACTCACAACGTAAACTGCTAAATATCAACAGACAAAACAGTGTCGTCAGTGCAAACGAAACTCTGTAACACATGTACCAGCTATACTCTGTATGTACCATTTGTTACACCATACACTACTGACTTGCCTGACAGTAAACTATAATGAAACACATACCGGTATTGCCACCCGTTACAACAACGATCCTCTCTCTCGGTAGCGACACGACGGGGAAACTTGGTGAAGATCCCATGGCTGATATTCACAGCTATTATCGTTCCACGATGATATTATAACAGCGTCTCACTTTCTTGAGTTACAAATCACTATATGAGCCAGTCCGCCTCTATCTGCTCCGTGCGAGGTCTGCTGAGTCAAATGTGTTGAGTCATACTCATCCACAGACATATATCAGCAGGAATATTGATGATGATTTCCACTTAAATTACGTACATAAAGCTCCATCCCTTCAAGTGTTCAAGCGTAACCCCAAAACACACCTTTTCAGTCGATATAAACAGTAACTCTCTCCAAGCTCATATTTACTACAATACTGAGCATGCCCCTTTGTGGTATGGAGTATTGCGCAGTATAAGTACCCTTATTATTATTATTATTATGATGATGATGCCGTTTCGTGTCACTGACCAGTAACGTCAAGTTACATTGCATTTATAATGCTTAGGGAGTTCGGGGAATACATTCCATGGAAGTATTGAAAACATTACACATGATCGTGAGATCTGAAGCGAGCGTACCCCGATCTAACAGGCGAGGTGGCGGCGTGGGTGTTGTGTATGATGATAGATTAAAAATGCGTCGTCTGACTGATGTTAGACACTTTGATTCATTCGAGTTTCTACCGATTCAGTTCGTAACTGAAAATCAGTGTGTAAATTTTATAGTGCTTTACAGGCCACCAAATTCTGGAAACATATTCTTTGATGATTTCTCGGCACTTTTGGATACACTGAACACAGTTAATGGAAAACTGTTAGTGTGTGGGGATTTCAATTTTCACATTGACAATCCTGAAGATGCTAACGCAAAACGTCTGCTCTATATCCTGGATACCCATGGTCTCATGTCAGAGTCAAGAAAAGATCGAGGAATGCTGTCACGTACCGGAAATGGAAAACGTTGACATTAAGTCTCTCGGTGAAGATATATCAACAGCATGTGTCAGTTACCAAGGCATGTCTGTTTCTGACGCTGTGGACATGTACGATTCACTGCTCCGACAGCTAGCAGACCAACATGCACCTGTCAAAACCTGTACCATCACAACCCATCCTGAGTCTCCATGGTATAATGATAACATCCGTGCTGCAAAGAGACAGAGGCGGAAGCTGACATAGATGAATGAAGCTGGAAAAAGGTCAGGTGCCTGTACACGTATAAGAGACTGAGCGGTGATATTATTATTATTATTATTATGAAAAGAATACAGTCTTGATTCCTATTGAAAACATTACAAAACAAGATCGTGAACAAACTCCGTTTGGTGATTAGATAAAAACAGCTGTACACGTATAAGAAACTGGCCTAAGAAACAAACTCCGTTTGGTGATTAGATAAAAACAGCTGCGAAAACTATATGTATGTGGATGACTGCAAATCACCGATGACACAAGGTGTTCTCCAATAGGGTAAGCATGTACCCCAAAGTGGAATTATTTTTGCCTGACGCCGCACAGCAACAACCATACCCTGCGACGGCGGCCAGCAAACAAACCAGACAATCAAGTGATCCAATGGACCGGAAAATCCCGTTACATAATGAATCGTATAAATCCAGCTTGGGTCAATGCAGGTAGCAAAAGTTCTGCAAGTCCCCATGGTCTCTAGCATGGTGATCGACCTTCAGTTGCTGGTGACCTCTAGCCCGTTTCTATATTGTATTGTCTATACCATTTGTCTAATTGTAAAAGTTACTTGCAAGTTTTAATTCTCTGTGATAATCTAGTTATTTACCGTCCTTTGTCGACAGGTTTTAATGTAATTTAATTGTGTTTATTGTTAATGTATAACTTTTTAAGTCACAATATGACTGAAATATTGCCGATGTGACTATAAATAAAACTCACTCACTCATATAACTGAATCATGACGTCTGTGCAAAAGCAAGAGATCCCGATACCCGTATGTGAAGAGAAATGTTTGGAAATTAGATTTGTTTCAAACGCATTGGGAGTCAGCCTTAATGTATCGTACCAAACATTTATTTTCTGGTTGAATCAGCATACTTATGAGCTTATGATGAATCTTGTGGACTTACTTCCACCGTCAGAAATGTAATAGCTGAATTAAATATGGTATGTCAGTGCAAATAGTACCCAGTCTCGTCTCTCCTCTAGTTACATAAGTTATATGCTCTTCAAAAAGTAGAGGAACTTCATTTTTAATTTACGATTGAAAAAATTGGTAGATATGTCAGAGTCAATCAATGTTGATATGACAATAATGAATGTTTAGAGAGTGCATCACCACTTGCACTTCCTTGTGACCATGTTTATTTGTTTGTACACTAATCGCTCTAGAAAGATGATTGGTGTATGGCATGAAATTTGCATGGGTACAATTGTTCACGTTCAAACAAAAAATACGGCTAGAAACCAACACTAACATCTGTGTGATGCAAGATGATTGTCAAACTTTATGGTCTACAGTGATTTATCGACCTTCTTGAAAACCGTCAAAATCAAGAATGACACCCCATGCACGTGTATGAGGCTACTGCATTCTGCATTCGTTGTGTTAAGGGGTGTTGATAAAAAAGAAATGGTGGTGATTTCATAAGATGTCTGTCCTTGAATAACGCTTATACTTCCTATCCAAATTAAATAATTATTAAATAAACAGGTTTCCCTACTTTTTTAAGAGTCTGGTCTTAATTACGCTCTTGTATTGGGTCACATAGATGTGCTGTGTTAGGCAGGCACTCTCGGGTTCTCTTGAGTTTAATATGAGGAACAAAGAATGATTAAAGTGATCAGAATACAAACTATAGTTACATGTAGTGTGTGTAACGTATCAATTACGACATCCCTACTGGTGTAACATTTAACGGCACTTAACGACATTAAACATGCCTTACGAACCACATTGTGTTTGTCACAGTGTGTGAATGTTTCAGAACGTAGCTGTGTGTGATAATTTAAGCCATGTACTATGAGTTTGTCGCAAAATGTATCTGTATGTAGCTTGTGGTCTAAGTGAGTGAGTGAGTTTGGTTTTACGCCGCTTTTAGCAATATTCCAGCAATATCACGGCGGGGGGACACCAGAAATGGGCTTCACACATTGTACCGATGTGGGGAATCGAACTCGGGTCTTCGGTGTGACGAGCGTATGCTTTAACCACTAGGCTACCCCACCGCCCCTTGTGGTCTAAGGCACTATGATAGTGTTGCAGAATATAGCGTGTGATTTACAGTATGTTTGTGTTACAAAATGTGACATGTGAATTGAGGTACTGTGGTTGTGTAACAGGACAAAAGCATGTGAATATAAGTTCAATGGTCCTGTTACAAAATGTAGCATGTGCATCATAATGTTGTGGTTGTGTAAAAAATTGTAGGATGTGAGTTATTACTCTACAGTTGGGTTACATAATAAAACATGTGAACTACAGTGCCGTGGCTGTGTTGCAGAATGTGCTCTTGTTCACGTGCTCTTGCCAATAGACTCATTTACCCCGGAAATGCATTTGATTGTGTATACACGCATAGTTTAGATTAGTACCAGGAATCGCATATGCTAGACAAGTTCACGTACATGTTATTGCCAGTAAACGTTGTATTCACTGGAACTGCAGCTCATACCCATCGTCAGTGATTTCTGAAGTGATCAGAACATCAAGTTGCCTCACTCTTCGAGAGAGAGAGAGAGAGAGAGAGAGAGAGAGAGAGAGAGAGAGAGAGAGAGAGAACGAGAACGAGAGAGAGAACGAGAACGAGAGAGAGAGAGAACGAGAGAGAGAGAGAGAACGAGAGAGAGAGAGAGACAGAGACACACAGAGAGAGAGAACGAGAGAAAGAGACGCAATCCAGGATGGGTTACGATCAGCGTCATTAATATTGAATTAGTGCAATTGCTATACATGTGGCTGATCCCTTGTCAGGGATTGTACGTATCTCTGTCAACTGCTGCCAGACCAGCATTACACAACAAAACCTGGAGTTTCCGCCCGGAAGACTTGAATGCCTCTATAAAGTCCATCGTTGATTTCAGCGAAGCTAGATCCAACTGCATGAATTCTACCGGGAGTTTGGCTTCATATATATGTCCTGCCTCCAGTTTACCGTCAGCTTTCATTTGTTCATAATCTCCATCCATCAAGCTGACACAACGTGACATAGCATGTTTTGTTTCAAACATTCAATTTGAACATAATATATATGTATCTATGCTATACATTACATGGAGTTATGCACTACATATATTGACCCCTAATCTACCCAGGGTAATACGCTGAATATACTGTGCTGTGCATAGTTGTGTATCCAGTATCTGACCTCTTCAACTTGGCCCTGGCTATGACGAATATCCACATGTCACGCTGCATGTATCCAGTTTTTTACCTCTTGGACTTTGGCCCCGGCTATGACGCATATTCACATGTCACGCTGCATGTATACAATGTGTAGCACAAACAACGTTAATTTATTGGTAGTTTGTCAATACTGTAACGTTATCAGAAACTGTGTTAAATGATAACATTATTACGCTTACAGAAAACTGAATTAATGCAATTGCTATACGTGTGGCTGATCCCTTGTCAGGGATTGTACGTACCTCTGTCAACTGCTGCCAGACCAGCATTACACAACAAAACCTGGAGTTTCCGCCCGGAAGACTTGAATGCCTCTATAAATTCCATCGAAGCTAACGAAGCTAGGTCCAACTGCATGAATTCTACCGGGAGTTTGGCTTCATTTATATGTCCCTCCTCCAGTTTACCGTCAGCTTTCATTTGTTCATAATTTTTATTCATCCTTCATACAAAATGTAGCATGTGAACTATAGTGCAGTGGTTGTGGTACAAAATGTAGCATGTGAACTGTTGTGTCGTGGTTGTGGTACAAAATGTAGCATTTGAACTATAGTGTCGTGGTTGTGGTACAAAATCTAGCATGTGAACTATAGTGTCGTGGTTGTGGTACAAAATGTAGCATTTGAACTATAGCGCAGTGGTAGTGGTACAAAAAGTAGAATGTGAACTATTGTGTCGTGGTTGTGGTATAAAATGTTGCATGTGAACTAGTGTACAGTGGTTGTGGTATAAAATGTAGCATGTGAACTATTGTGTCGTGGTTGTGGTACAAAATGTAGCATGTGAACTATAGTGTCGTGGTTGTGGTACAAAATGTAGCATTTGAACTATAGCGCAGTGGTTGTGGTACAAAAAGTAGAATGTGAACTATTGTGTCGTGGTTGTGGTATAAAATGTGCCATGTGAACTATTGTGTCGTGGTTGTGGTACAAAATCTTGCATGTGAACTATTGTGCCGTGGTTGTGGTACAAAATGTAGAATGTGAACTATTGTGTCGTGGTTGTGGTAGAAAATGTGGCATGTGAACTAGTGTACAGTGGTTGTGGTACAAAATGTAGAATGTGAACTATTGTGTCGTGGTTGTGGTACAAAATGTTGCATGTGAACTATTGTGTCGTGGTTGTGGTACAAAATGTTGCATGTGAACTATTGTGTCGTGGTTGTGGTACAAAATGTTGCATGTGAACTATTGTGTCGTGGTTGTGGTACAAAATGTTGCATGTGAACTATAGTGCAGTGGTTGTGGTACAAAATGTGGCATGTGAACTATTGTGTCGTGGTTGTGGTACAAAATGTTGCATGTGAACTATTGTGCAGTTGTTGTGGTACAAAATGTGGCATGTGAACTATTGTACAGTGGTTGTGGTATAAAATGTGGCATGTGAACTATTGTACAGTGGTTGTGGTATAAAATGTTGCATGTGAACTATTGTGTCGTGGTTGTGATATAAAATGTTGCATGTGAACTATTGTGTCGTGGTTGTGGTACAAAATGTTGCATGTGAACTATTGTGTCGTGGTTGTGGTACAAAATGTTGCATGTGAACTATTGTGCCATGGTTGTGGTACAAAATGTTGCATGTGAACTATTGTGTCGTTGTTGTGGTACAAAATGTTGCATGTGAACTATTGTGTCGTGGTTGTGGTACAAAATGTTGCATGTGAACTATTGTGTCGTGGTTGTGGTACAAAATGTTGCATGTGAACTATTGTGCCATGGTTGTGGTACAAAATGTTGCATGTGAACTATTGTGTCGTGGTTGTGATACAAAATGTTGCATGTGAACTATTGTGTCGTGGTTGTGGTACAAAATGTAGAATGTGAACTATTGTGCAGTTGTTGTGGTGCAAAATGTGGCATGTGAACTATTGTACAGTGGTTGTGGTACAAAATGTTGCATGTGAACTATTGTGTCGTGGTTGTGATACAAAATGTTGCATGTGAACTATTGTGTCGTGGTTGTGGTACAAAATGTAGAATGTGAACTATTGTGCAGTTGTTGTGGTGCAAAATGTTGCATGTGAACTATTGTACAGTGGTTGTGGTACAAAATGTTGCATGTGAACTATTGTGTCGTGGTTGTGATACAAAATGTTGCATGTGAACTATTGTGTCGTGGTTGTGGTACAAAATGTAGAATGTGAACTATTGTGCAGTTGTTGTGGTGCAAAATGTTGCATGTGAACTATTGTACAGTGGTTGTGGTACAAAATGTTGCATGTGAACTATTGTACAGTGGTTGTGGTATAAAATGTGGCATGTGAACTATTGTGTCGTGGTTGTGGTACAAAATGTGGCATGTGAACTATTGTGTCGTGGTTGTGGTACAAAATGTAGATTGTGAACTATTGTGTCGTGGTTGTGGTACAAAATGTTGCATGTGAACTATGTGGAGTAACACGTTTCACAGGATAGAAGGGATAGCTCCAGTACATACTAATACCACAGATTGGCGAGAACTGCTTGTTACACCAAGAATACCAATACCAGGATCTTGATGAACTGTGACTGTGTGAAACAAGGCATACATATGCCACATTGTACATGTGTGTGTGTTTGTGTGTCTCTTCCAACTACGTGTACTGACCGTGGCTTGTTGCTACTTCCAGATACGTAGAAATAAGTAAGAAAATACTTCAGTTAATTATTAAGTTTGTTTTATTATTGTTTGTTTGGTCGTTTGCACAGAAACAAGTAAGAAAATAGCACACAAGGCATTATTTGTTTGGTCGTTTGTTTGAATAGCGGCAGGGTGACGAGTGTGCATATCTCCTCCCTAAATAGTTGGGTGGTCTGTTGTTTAACGCCGCACTCAATAATATTACAGCTTTATGGCGGCGGTACGTACATAAACGAGTCTAGACAAGACAATCCAGTAAACAACAGCATGTGCATCACATGTGCATGGGATAGGGTGACATTTTGTCAACCAAGTCAGTGAGTCTGACCACCCGATCCCATTAGTCGCCTCTTACGACGATCATGGGTTGCTGAAGACCAATTCTAACCCGGATCTTCACGGTTTCTTAATTATAAATACGATCTTTGTTAAATACATTTTGGCAATACGTTATAGAATAAATGTGTACCATCTCGCAATACGTCATGGACAGTACTGTAAACTATTCCATTTGGGGACAAAATGTTACTGTGGCGAGAATAGACCATATTATATACGTGAAAATATAAGGTTTTGAAAAATTCTCTGGAAAAAGGCCCATGGATCTCATGCCAGTTGAAAATAGCGATATTTCTCTAATGGATATAGACAGATACTAAATGCTGTCCTTGTCACTGTTGACGTTCAGATTACTTGTCATCGTCTACAACGTGCATGAATGTGCATCAGATCTAACATCAGCATGTGTCGGCGTAGGTCCCTGTATGATCACAAATGATAGAAGCATATCACTTCAAAATTTAAATGCGAAAATCATTACTTCTTCGAATATTCACCTTCCCCAAAACATCGAAAAATCATGTTTAAAGTCATTCTAGATGTTTGTGATTGTTGTGTTCTTTTGGTATTGCAGAACAGACTAATTATAAAAATGAAAATATATTAAACCATACATAAGCAAATCAAAAAGATGCCAGAAGTTGTCTCGAACTGTACCTTTTGTATTATAATATTTCATTTTACAGTCAATATTCCTGTGTGCAAGTTTCTAATAGTTGCCTGTGATGTAATTTGCTATTGTACATATTCTTGGAGAGAGGTTTTATGTGTTGTAAGAACTCGTCCTAGATCGTTTTCAGTTTGTGAATAAAATGTGTAAACAGAAGTAAATCACACTACAGATGTTTAATGTTGTTAACAGGCCAGAACACCGGTGTCATGTCATATTGTAGGGGTCTCAATAATCATGAGCATGGGTATATCCAACTACTCAGACAAGAGAATATCAAAATCACAATCTCGGTGCGATGTCACATAGTTTCCATTTAGGAATACAAAAGAAAATGTGCTAAAATCGGTCCACTCTCCGATTCTGACGATACCATAATGAATTCTTCTCAAGCTATGCTTATATACATATGTTTCATCACATGTTGACTAATCATATTCACCGATTCTTTATAATCTCAGATCTCTGCGTTTAGATCTCGGCTGTTATGAGTGCCATTAGTGATAATATGCATGGTTATATCCCAGTAAATGTGGTAATGGACTGACTGTCTCATGCAGAAGTGTATATATCTTATATCTCCTGATTTGTTGTTCCTGTTCAAGAAGATGGTCCTTCCAATGCACTGAGGACATCTTCGGGAAGATACTGCTTCAGACACTCCAGCGTGTACGTCCACAATTCCTCCTGGAACTTTTCATTCCTGAAATGTTGAAGTAATTCTATCCGTTACTGGAAAACGGTTTGGGGGGATAAAGAGTATTGCACCCACTATAGGTTACGAGCATTTCGAGAAAACGGAAACCAATCTTTACCTGGCATCACTGGACATTGAAGCTGGCTTACAATCAACGAGATAGACACCATTCAACCCCTTCTTCGCGGGATTCACTGCAGCGTCTACCAAAGTTACCGCCCCTTGGAAAGGAGTCCGAAATATTCCTGCAAATAACCGATCAGACAAATCAACAACTGGGAGACTGAGGTGTAAAGAGTTTACCCGACAATCTTTTGAGAGACAAGAACAGGATTCCATTTATATCGCTGCGTGTAAGCTGAATGTGAGTGTAAAAGAAAGTTTACAGTATCGTTTTGGATTTTTTGCGATTCGTTAACTTGTTTCGCCGTTTGTTCCCGGAAAGGATAGGTCTGTACGTGTGTGACATGGCTCGGCATGGTTACTAGTATATAAAAACATTTTAATTTTTGTGAATTTTTATGTAATATTTTGCGGTGTATAGTTTCTTTTGAGCACTAGTTTACGTTTCCTGAAGGTGTGGAAATATGCTCAATTCATTGGTTTGCCAGTGTCCAATTCATTCTAAAGGCGTGTTTTACGAGGGCGATGTAAATGACTATCCAGTCCGTGCATCTTGGTGACTGCTACACTTACTTAAAGTAGACATGGCCGAGAGGAAAAAGGAATACAGTCGTCGCTTCTGATAGTGCCTCCCCAACTCTGTGTTGACTCCACCTGGATGATATGACATCACTGCGACTTGTTGTCCATGCTGACGACGTAGAAGGCTGAACATGTGCTGGATCTGAAAGTCAGAGACATCATTGCCTCATTATTCTTATCATTAGTTACTAGTAAAATAAGTAAATGCACCACAGTCAGTCTGGTTAGGTTAATCAGTTAGGCTAAGGGCCCTTGTCACCTTTACATGCGGCCCTGAAAGCGAATGGGACTTCTCACAGGAAGCGTTGCCTTGTCAAACTACCGGGACCATTTCAGAGACAGCATAGCCGTCTTTATAACCCAGGGTGTCAAAAGGGCTGTGTTCCTATTAAACCCGTGTACTCTCCCAATGTCAGTAAAAGGAAAGGGTTGGGAGGTAGAAACAACAGGGAGTCGCAGGACTTGATGAAAGGGATGCAAACAAGATATTTCGTAAGCGAAGTCCATATATGTCGCATGTTCTTCCCAAATTTGGCAAACACATTAGGTACAAAAGGGACAGATATTTCAAGGATATAATCACTTTATCCATGTTATAAAAAACGGCAAGGTTAGATTTGTTAGCTTGGATACGGCTCAAGATATATATGGGCCTATTCCAGAGAATTCAAGCATGGCGGAGATGGTAATAATTGGATAGAGCCACACCATCATGTCACTGAAAATACTATGTCTGTGCTAACTCTGGGCATCCACTGACAAGATGTTGGACAGTATCACTAAATCATTATACTAGCCATTTCATTCTTACGTTTTGACGTATGTACATTGACGGTTACCAGTCCTCAGCAGCAATAGAAAAACGGGTGTTTCACTTTTCAGTTCACTATATTTTTGCTTGCTTGTTTGACACTTCTTTCTGTAGCGTCCAGAAGTCAGAACCTTGTGATTCTATCCAACATCGTTGACTCTTTGGCGTGGCTGTGGAATGCCTTGTTTTCATCGTGACTTTTAACAGAATTGACAAATATCAACGATTGAAGGAAGAGCGAGGGTGGTGGATGAATGTTCTTGTGAGGGTGCCAATGCAATGATAATTTCATGTTTCGTCCAAACAACAGCACCAAACGAATATGAGGACGGGCATAGGTGTCTGTAGCTTTGAATTTGATACGAGCGTTCAGCTCTGAAACTGGCTGATCCTCCTTATTCTGTCTTACCACGTTCCAGATGAAAAGTGTTGCATTTGTCGAGTTCGAAGGACAAGTCGATGTCATTGGGGGAAAAATCGACAAGGAAAAGCTGATTTTTTTCAGTGTAAATTCTCTATTGGCAAGCAGTTGAAGGCCATCAGTGTAAATGAGATGAGTTTACAAGTGTTGGGGATCTGTGCTGAGGAGGTCCGGAACGATGAGCCTCCTCATGGCTAAGCACACATAACAGCTCAACGGATTTAGTAACTGACAGAAAAGCAAAGGACTAAATGAATCGCCCTGACATATTCCTCTTCTAATGGAAATAAGTTCTAAAGTCAGAACTTGCCTTAAGAATATGGAGTATTACACCATGGAGTACTTTCAGGTACCTACCTGATATAACTTTGAGTTGCCATAGTAACGCAATTTGTCAAAATCTGATGGGTTCTGTGCTTGTGCCTTGTCCAAGTCAAATCTGGCGAACTTGTGAGCCAAACTTGACGTGAAAACAATTCTGCAGTCTTCTCCCGAGTTCTTCATGATAGGCAGCAGATGGGCGACAATCAGGAAGTGAGTCAGGTAGTTCACCTGCGATGACAAACACAAGGTTTGATGTAGATGGAATAGTCAAGGAGATAAATTGATAATGAATCAGTGTTTAACGTATCAAGAATGACATTGACGTTCTGAAACTTCAGCGGGGAAGCGTTTTACCTACGGTGATAGTTTTGTGAATGTTGTACAGTAAACATTTTTGAAATATCTGTAAAATATATAATTAGAAGGATGGAATAATTACAACTGGAGCAATATATTAGACATGCAAGTGGAGTTATCGCATGATATGTGTATTCATGTTAATAGGGTCACTGGTGACAGGCGTACATTTCAGCTTCGCCTACCTTTGGAACAAATAATGTATTATAATAATTAAATACAAGCATGATTTAAAATACCACCAATAAGCGCTTTCGTTCCAGTCGAATGTTCACATGTTCTTGCCAATACGACTCATTTGATTGACGAATATGTGAATGCGAGCACTTATATTAGACAATTTCACGTACATATTCTTGCCAATAAACGTTGTATTTACCTGGAACTGCATCTCATACCCATCGTCAGTGATTTCTGAAACACAATGGATCAAGTTGCCTCATATTTCGATACAGTCACCGTGCGTGCGTGCGTGCGTGCGTATGTATGCGTGCGTGAGTGTATAGAACTCGAAGGGAAGGCGGGTTAAGGTCAGCCTCTCATTTTATTCCTCAATCAACCTGACACACCCTGACATTTCATTTCAAACATCTCATTTGCACCACTTGATATTTATCTATGTTATACATTACATGGATCTATGCATTACATAGTGCGTAGTGGTGTGTCCAGTATTTGACCTCTTGGACTTTGGCCCCAGATATGCCGAATACCCACATGTCACGCCGCATGTTAGACTAAGGCTTAGTCTCTGAATATATATAATTTTGATAGTAACAAACAAGCCCATTTATATTGAAAAGGAGCCCTAGGGAGACCAGAACCTGGGGAAATCTAGACTTGTTTCGTTTAGGGCTTTAGCACTACAGGGAAGGCTAGGCTGTAGGGAAAAATAATGTGGTTCAGGGACTGTGAGACAGACTAGCCGCATGTATACAACGTGTAGGACAAACACAGTTAATTTGTTGGTAGTTTGTCAATAATGTAAACTTTGTTGAAGGATAACATTATTAGGCTTACAGAAAAATTAATTAATGCAATTAATTTCATACACATGCGGCTGATCCCTTGTCAAGAAGTGTACGCACCTCTCTCAACTGCTGCCAGACCAGCATTACACAACAGAACCTGGAGTTTCCGCCCGGAAGCCTTGAATGCCTCTATAAAGTCCATCGTTGATTTCAGCGAAGCCAGGTCCAGCTGCATGAACTCTACCGGGAGTTTGGCTTCATTTATATGTCCTGCCTCTAATTTACCGTCAGCTTTGATTTGTTCATAATCTTCATTCATCCTTTTGATTGCCTTTGATTGATAAAAATATCCATTGTAGAACATCGATAAAATTCGTACAATACATATGAATCAATCTTTGGTAAAACGCAGCACTGGGCAGCATTCCATATATAACATAGCAATTGTATTCCATATACATAGCAACTATGAAATTCCATATATACAATACATATGAAGCATTCCATATATAACATAGCAACTAAACATTCCATATATAACATAGCAACTATGACAGCATTCCATATATAACATAGCAACTATGACAGCATTCCATATATAACATAGCAACTATGACAACGGTAACGGTATATTAAGATATTTAAACGTAATCATCATGAGTTTATAGTTAATCATTATAATGTATCGTCGGGTTGGGTGCTGAAATTCTCAGTTTTGGAATCTTTATTGTGATGATGTTTAAATTTTTATCACAAAATAATCGAAAATTATCACGAAAACTGTATACAAATATGACATAAAGTAAACATTTAATTGTTTTACACATTTATATTTTATGATTACCAGGCAACTTACATCAGTGGCTCTTTGTTCGGATCGACAGGCAATTATGACGGTAGCCCCCATCATCGCTATATGTTTTGCAGCTTCATAGCCAATCCCTAGAAAGAATATGTATCACCTGTTATGAATAACTCACCAGTTATTGTTAAATAGAGGCCTCATAAATCACTACATCTAGAAGTTAATGAAATGGATGCACTATTAACCAACAAAACTTGCTTGAGTCGTCCAAAAATTGAGTGACGTCGCCACTGCTGAAATACTACTATGACACCGAGCTGCATGGCGAGGAAAACATCCTTATTCGAGGAGTGACCTTATTACTCCGAACTAATGTGGATTATGTGTACACGTAATATTGTGTTCATATCTGAGAACGTAGTAAAAAGTATACAGGTGTAGACACAATATTACATCAATATATGTTACAGTGTGTCTCAGTTTGAAACTGAGGCTTGCTGGCTTCTCCACTGCAGGTGATTAATTTTCAAGTCAGCCATCGCACCGGCAGCAGACTATACACTCAAAGGGAAACACCTCTATTCACAGTCACACGGCTTTTGTTACAGGAGTATTATAGATAAGACGGTCTCTTCTAAATGTGGCCGTTGCAATTTGGAGACGACTGAACATATTTAACATTAACTAATTACATGCCCTGGGAATAACAACATAAGACAAAATCTCAAAAGTGCTGTACTTGAGGTTGATGATATATTTTCTTTAGAAACAGTTTTGGGCCCCAATATCATGTATGAGTCTTGCAACGGGCAGTTTTAGATTTTGTCTAGTCATCTGGAAAATATGATGTAATCTAGACAGGCTCTCAAATGACTTAGACAGATTTAGTTCTGTGATTTTAAATCGTTTTAACGCTCTGTCATCTTAACCTACTGCTTTTTTAATGAATGAGTATTTCTTGCTTCAGAAGTGGAAGTGATGACTTAAAGATTTTTAATCTGTAACACGAAGCAGAGGTTATTCGATGTATACGTCTAGCCAAATAAATATTGATAGTGTTGTCGTTTCTTTTATGTTATCTAAACGATTCCTTTTGGCGATGTAATAACCAGTGATTTATATTAAGTCAAGTCAATGTCTTGGGCGCAAATAGGCCCCTTACCGGCCCACGTCGCCCTAAAACTATAAAACCAACGAACACGACTTTTGTAGGCTAGATGTGCAAGTTTGTCAATAGCTGCACGTCACTCAACACACTCACAACAGTTACTGCTAGATATAAATAGACAGAACGGAATCGTCATTGTATACGAAACACTATAACACATATACCATCTATACTCTGTGTGTACCATTTGTTTCACTATACATGTGTACACTACTGACTTGCCTGATAGTAAACTATTATCAAACACATACCGGTATTGCCACCCGTTACAATAACGATCCTCTCTCTCGGTAACGACACCACGGGGAAACTTGGTGAAGATCCCATGTCTGATATTCACAGCTATTATTGTTCCACGATGATATTATAACTGCGTCTCACTTTCTTGAGTAACAACCTAGTATGCCTCTATCTGCTCAATACGAGCTCTCCTGGGTCACAAGGTTGCAAAATGTGTTGAGTCATGCTCACCCACAGACACGATAACAGCTAGAACATTCTTTGCTGAGGCCGTCTCGTGTCATTGACCAGTAACTTACAGTGACATTGCGTCGATAATGCGTAGGGTGGGGGGGATTCCATTCCACGGAAGAATTGAATGCATTATATATGATCGTGAGCGAGCTGTTGACATAGATAAAATTAGAATGAAGTAGAAAATAGGTCAGGGAGCCGTTGTACAAAGCAACCTCAGCGCTACGCCAGTCGTAAGTCTATGTAAAGGTATGGGAGTTACGAATAAATTAACACTAAGATCACTTTGTACAACGGCTCCTAGGTGCTAATACACATATAAAAGACCGAACAAAAGAATACACATTTATGTCAGTCTTTACTGTCCCAAGAAACAAACTCCGTTTGGTGCCAGGATAAAAACAGCTGTAGAAATTCATGTAATGGATCACTGAAGATCACTGAAGATCACTTGTGACACCAGTAGGATAAGTTTTCACGCCCTGCCCCGCAATATGTACCCAAAAGTGGAAGTATTTTTGTCTGACGCCGTACAACAACAACCACACCCTGCGACGTCGGCCTGCAAACAAACCAGACCATCAAGTGATCAATAGACCGAAAAAAAACGTTATATAATTGAATCATGACCTCGATGACCATAAGTAAAGATAAACGTTTGGAAATCAGACCACCATTAAAATACATTGGGTGTCAGCCTTACACTGTATCGGATCAAACATTTCTTTTGTATTTGAGTCAGGATACCAAGATATACTTATAAGCTTATGATAAATCTGGGGATAGATGTGCAGTGCGCGTATCAAGGCAGGCCTGTCGTTTGTGTTACATACGCCTGTATGTGATTATATACGTGTGAGCTGGGTAGTATCGCATATTGGGAATGAATGTATGTTGGAAACCTTGGCATGCCATTCGCCTGATGCAACCGGGACACATCACTGACTGGAACGTCTCTGTATCCAACGACAGTTAAGAAGTGGGTTCTCTTGAGTGTAATATGAGGAAGAAAGAATGATAAATGTGATCAGACTACAAAATGTAGATGCGGTGAATGTTTCAGAACGTAGCTGTGTGTGATATGTGATTATACGTACTAGGAGTTTGTCGCAAAATGTAGCTATATATGCAGCATGTGATCTAGGGCACTATGATTGTGTTTCAGAATGTAGCGTATGATTTATACAGTACTATCGTTGTGTTACAAACTGTGACGTGATCTAACGTCCTGTGGTAATACGAAGAAGCATGTGAAATGGGGCACTACGGTTGTGTTACAAAATGTAGCGTGTGAACTAAAATACCACGGTTGTGTTAATAAAGATAACATGATATTTACAAGGACTGTGACAGTCACACTGTTTCCTAATGTAGCTGCATGAAGTATTTACACTGAAGTCCTCTGATTTTGTCACAAAATGTAGCTATACCTTATAGTAGGTATGTGAATAGCAGTACGTACCATGGCGGAATTACAAAGAGTACGTGCAGCTATATCAAGGGCGGATCCAGCCGGGGGTGCGCAACCACAACCCACACCCCGACAAAAACCTTCCCTGAGAAGTCCCTAACCTTTGGATTTCATGATTCATGTGCACACACCATGTATATGTTACCTGTGAATTAAGGTAATGTTAGTGTGGCGTTACATGAAGATTACAATAGAACTATGTTCTATATAGAACGGCGAGGCTACTGATCGTTGAGCATATACTTCACATACGTACAGGACACGGGATTAAGGTAATGTTAGTGTACATTTAAGCAGTTAAAGGGGAATTGATGTAAATTCGAAACGTCGACATCGGTAAATCTGCAGCACAGATTCGCAGGGCGTGAAAGGCAAATAGTTAGGACATTTATATAGATCTTCATATCGAGCAGGGGCGGTGGGGTAGCCTAATGGTTAAAGCGTTGGCTCGTCACGCCGAAGACCCGGGTTCGATTCCCCACATGGGTACAATGTGTGAAGCCCATTTCTGGTGTCCCCCGCCGTGATGTTGCTGGAATATTGCTAAAAGCGGCGTAAAACCAAACACAGTCAGTCAGTCAGTCATATCGAGCAACACACGCGTACACACGTTGCATATACGTTAGAGCATGTGTATGTTATGCAAATTTCACGGACACTTACGTTTTGCTTTTCACTCAACGTTAGACCAATCCATAAATTGTAAGATAGACATGAAAAGGGAAATATATATGACAATTCACTTATGAACATGATGCTTGATGTTATTCCCCCCCCCCCCCCCAATGTCGTTACATGTGGGAGGCACACCTCGTTACTGACCGTCATTAACCTTCTTACAGAACTGCCCGTGGTGTTATCGGCGGAACAGCAAAGGTATGTTTACATTTTGAGAACACCCGGTTTCACCAATGATTTCCAGTGGCACATGTATTATACCACTACTTTGACTTTCACTCCAAGGAATATGCGTCGGATGATAATAGAAACTGATTATTCTAGACGGTTTGGATTTAGCTGCAAATATAAATAACAAAACTCGTGAAAACAGAATTTATTCTATCTGTACAAGAATACATCACATGTAATAACATTATAAATATATTTGGACAACGTATATGTCCTGAGATTAACTGTTTGGAATGCTCTTAGACTGGTTACGACAGTCAGATACTGTACAAGGCAGCAACTAATGCTACAGTTGTAATTCCTCTCACAAGACTACCCAAGTGGGAACTGAATCTCCAAAACAGTACTGACTAATGATAACATTCACAGACTCTACCAATAAGATGATAAGCCACTTTACCTAGTCAAGACAGCCAGAGATATTCACGTACCGATTGATGATATTATTACAGTGCATATATTTCTTCATACATTTTTAGATTTTTCACAAATTATTCATAACAAAGAAAATCCGTATACGTGCAAGTTGCATAGCATAGTGTATCTTGTTTATAGCCCCGCATGTCAAGCGCAGTACTAGGCAATTAGCAAACGCATCCACGCCAACCTTAAACTAATTAATCAAAGATGAAGTTATTGAGCTGTGTCGGCTCCGGCCTTTCTTCTCGGGTACATCCCTTGGTCAAGCACAGATACGTAGTCCCATCCCAGCAGGAGCATGTCTACCACCAACTAAGTCGTAATCGAAAATCAACTTTTGTTGAACAAGATCGAGATTACCATCATGATATCCTGTTTATCCTGTCGTAAATGCCATGGTCAAGCACTGACAGATATTTTGTTAAGCAGCTGGCGCAAGCTGATTGTGACTACACCATAAAGAAAATCAAACCTTGTTAGGTAATCATCTTCTTACCACCTACCTCGTGTAGTATACTTTGTCAGCATAGGGTAGATAACGCATATGGAAACTTCAACTTTATAGAAACTTGATAATGACAAACGAGTAGAGCTGTGGGTTATAAAATCCTGGGTTCTTCCATCTCAGGCACACTTGCTTGAATACACCCAGGAACTCACAGCTCTCTCATTTCTTGTTTCAAGGGAAGAAACATTTAAACTTTATTCTTGTTTATGTCTAACTTGTTATTCCTTTGTAATTATCGTCTACAAAATGTTAGGTTAGAAACATTCCTACAACATTGAAGCACTTTTTCATTGCAAATGCTAGTTCTGGATAACCGATTAATTCTTAGGCACTATCCAGGGATATTTATTTATACACATTGCGTCGTGGGCTCCTCAAGCTTTCATGTTTTTCATGTACAAACGAATATTTCTTTTCTATGTTCGACACACATGTGTGTATTCCCAGTCCTTGTCTAGTTTCATTCATGTTTGCGTGTTAGATCTGTATATGCAGGTAGATTCCCGTTCAGTAGCCTAGATTCTATTAGCTTAGTCACAAAAACAGTTCCGCAAGTTTATACAATCATTTCCAGCGAAGATGAATTTATATGTAGGTCAGTTACTCCGTATTTTACAATAGGCCGCCGATCAAATAATATACGCGCTCACATGATAGGTACAACAGCCAGCATTTGTGTTTTGATATTTCACCAAGGGCTTCTTTCACGAAGCAACCTTTACTAAGGTTAACCTTAACTCCTATTCTTTAACATTGCACAAAAGGTTAGCTTAGTGACTTATGATCACTTTAGTGCTTTGTGAAAGGAGGCCCAACACTATAAGTATTTGAATAATGATATATTAAACGTTCCGTTCCGCGTGCAGTTGTATACCGTACAGAACAGTTTATACGCGAATCACATTATCGTAATCAGTAGAAAATGGTATTGTCTACTCTTCATATTACCAGAAGATATACATTCAAATCCGTGTAGTTTGCAATTACAGTCTTCGTTCCGTATTTATTTAGCTCCGTAATTTAAGAAATACGCGTAGCCAATGACAACAGCGCCGTCCTAGTACATTATTACATATTCATTTAACTAAGTTACTGTCTTGTTTTGTAAAGCACAAAAAATGTAGCACTACAGCATTACACATATATTCTAGGTCATGGCTTAACTCCGTATATGTCGAAATTGCACGTTGCCAATAGCAACACCACCGTCGAAATACACTTACCGTAGTCACCCATATAATTCGTAATAAAACAAGCTTAAGTAGTAGTACTCTAACTAAAACTAGGCCTTCTGTCCCCGTATTTACAACACTTTTATATCTCTCTAATATCACTTACGTATCTACTGAAATTATTGTATTGAGAAAATAAATGTTAACATTACAGTTAGAACGCGTACAGTCAATACCGGAGTTAACTGGTATATGTCAAATCTGAGCACTTCGCGCCGTTTACCGTACTTGCTCAATGCATGTATTTTTATAACTAAAATTTACTTACACTAGTCGTGAATCGTTACCGTAGTTACTGCATTAAGCGCGACATACCGTAATAGTCGTAAATTCCTACCGTAGTCAATACATTAAGCGCAACATACCGTAAAAATCATAAATTCCTACCGTAGTTAACGCAATAGGCACCACATACCGTAATTGTCATAAATCGGTACCGTAGTTAACGCATTAGGCGCGACATAACGTAATAGTCATAAATCCGCACAACAGTTAATGAACTACATGCTGTAATTAAACTGTTGGGCGCTCCACTCAGTACTTGTTCTTTGCAATTGTTGTTGATGATTAATTTATCCGTCAGGTTATGTTATTTATCAGTACCGTAGTTACTCAAGGAAATGTTGTATTATTTATATTATGTTTCTGTAAGCAGTTACCGTACATACCCTGTTGAACCATACACTTGCTTGAATAAACCCAGGAACTCACAGCTCTCCTTTCTTGTTTCAAGGCTTGCTCCCTATAGCTAATTCCTCCCCAAATCGATCCTGACAGCACGTTTAGCACACCTAACGCTAAAGGTCGTCCTAACGGACACGAAGTAAGCTGTCTTAATATATAACAACCATGTGTTTGACTTTATCATTTAGACAGTAGTCTGAAAGGAAGCTATCCAACAGAAGCCCCTAAACTGAAAGGCCTAAACAAACAAGTAACTTAAATAAGTAAGAATGGAATTCCCTTTCCGCACACGAAGCCAGTGTGATAACTGCACATTAGAGGACTAATGCAGACAAAGCCCCGATAGTGTAAACCATGCATGGTGAATACGCAGCGATTGGAGTGAGCGCTCGATGTCTACCTTTTCTGACTAACATTTATTTTTTCAGAGGTCGGAAGTGGTGGTCGTTACTGGTTACCATCTTGAGGCATATCAAGTGACGCAGTGATATCTGCCGGTAGATATTGCTTCAGACACTCTACAGAATAGTTCCATAGATCTTCCTGGTACTGCTCATTCCTGAAACAAATGGATGGAACCTCAGTGCTTTAAATGCTTTACAACCTCTGTACTATATGCATTAATGGCTTTATACAAACATGTATGCTGTAGGCCTCACATCACAATCAACGAGGTTAGGAGTGGCTCAGTTGTCTTGAGGTGAGGTGAGGTGAAATTGGGTTTATCGTCGTGCTTGAGAATATTTCGCTCATATGACGACGTGCATGCGTGTGTATGTGTATGTGCGGCTGCTTGTACCAGCCCAGACTAAAGCTGGTTTTATAGTGCTAGCCCACTGTGATACCATGCCGCAGTGAAGCATGAATATCCCACTCAGACACATTATACTGACTCCGAGCCGACCGGTCCTTGTACCCATAAATGCCGAGCGCCAGGTACCAGAGTCCTGTATATATCACTTGGCATCCAGATCTCAGATTCGCCATGATTCACAGATTGTGATCCTTAGTTTATCAAACACCTCACCAATTCTGTCATCAATGGTGTACATATCTTAGACCTCCATCTTGTCGGGTTTCCCCTCGCTTAAACCAGAGACCATATACGGTATATGGTCTCTGCTTAAACCTAAGGCCCGAAGCTCTGGCATAGCTATAACACTGTTCAGGTGTTGATTCAAAGTCACTCACTCACTCACTCACTGACTCTCTCAGTCTCGAGTAAACATGGTCTGAACACCCTCAAGTTGTATCTGCAAGAACGTACCGGGCAAGTCGTGCTATGGATGAGGATTTACAGTCAACAAAGTATACGTCCGTTGTTCCTTTATACTTTGGGTTTACAGCCAGGTCAATCAGCGTCACTGCCCCTTGATACGGCGTACGTAGAGCTTCTGTAATTGAATTTATTCATTACATTCATGTCAATTGTAAATAGTAGTCAACAAAGTTTTTGTCAGTTAAACGCCGAACTCAGCAATGCTCTCTCTATATGACGGCAATCTATAAAATATAGTCAGGATTAGATACTGCAGTGACGACATTATCATTATTGATCTACGCCAGTCAGCAAACCTAACCACTCGATCCCGTTAGTAGCATGATCCCGTTAGTAGCATAGGTTCTCTAGACTAAAGGATCTTTTCGAGTCTCTTCCAGTGATCAGCACTGATCAAGTGAAAGAGTTTCGTGGTAGCTTATGTAAGCTTGTCCACGATATGTTGCTAACATATGTGACTAGAAATCTTATCTCTTAACCAGTTGTGTAGCTACCATTATAAGAAAAAGCCCGGGCGTACACATGGTTGTTGTTAAAATTGTTGGGCAAGCCATCAATACTATCTAAATAATAAAGCTTTGCTACCTATCGGGCTTACACGAAAACAAATGGTTGAATACGCACCTGTTAACTTACGTAAGGTTGTGCCGATATGGAGGATAATGCAGAAGAAACGATAACCATGCGTTTCATACAAAACTGTTCTCGGAATGTATGGGTTTTGTTTACCCGCAGTTATAAGAAAACGGCGTATCCAGTACGATACCATGATCATAGCAAATATCTGCTAAAATCCTAAATCACTATATAATAGTCATGATACCATGAGCCTCACAGTATACATGAAAATAATATAATGAAATTCTCACTTACTCATACTGTCAAAACAGCTGACTAAGCACGAGAAACACTTCATATCACTGTAGTTTCTTGTGATCTCGGTGGAGACAGTTCCCGGATGCATTGACGTCACAGTGACGTCACTTCCTCTCAGGCGGCGTGATAGACAGAACATGTGTTGAATCTATAATACAAGCATATGGGGTTTATCTTTATGTGTTGTAAACACAACACTGAAAACCAAGACCGGAAGCATGTACAGACCTCCGCCATATAGCTGGAATATTGCTGAGTGTGGCGTACAACTAAACTCACTCACTCAATTGGTGCACAGAGCAAACCAACTCTGAAAACTAGAAGAATGGACCGCCGACATCCAACAATGGCACCAGGGCAAGCAGGACCCGACCCACCAGCAGCACCCGTCATCCACATAATATAAAAGTAAAGCATAGCACTTAGTAACTGCTCTTTGACAACAATTAACTGACTACCCTTTCATTTTTTTCTTCTGCTTCGTATTAAAATGACCTGTCGCCATTTGGAGATACATCAGTATCACTTGCTCCGGCTGTATTGGTGGTATACCTGTCACAAGGGACCCAGTATGCGTTAATGTTGATGTAAAGCGTCAAGTAATGAATTATGTATGTTAACGTCCGTTCTTCGAAACATATCCAGCACCATGGAATAATAAGAATGTTGGAGTTTTAGGAATTCTATATCATCGAGAAATTGTATTGATAAAAAGAGGCAAGGCAAACCACTAGGAACCTGGTACATCTTTGAGTTGGCGTAGTAAAGCATTCGCCCATAGTCAGATGCATTTTGGGCTTGTGCCTTCTCAAGGTCAAACCTTGCTCCTTTGTGACCCAGACTGGAGGTGAACACAATCCTGCAGTCTTCTCCCGAGGTCTTCATGATAGGCAGCAGATGGGCGACAATCAGGAAGTGGCTCAGGTAGTTCACCTGCGATGACAAACACAAGGTTTGATGTAGACGGAATAGTCAAGGAGATACTAAATCAGTTGTAATGGGGCCTTCTCACGGTGCCGATTAATGCTCCCGTTTCGGATCAGACAGCGCTACGACACGAAAAGTGAAAAAGTCGGATTACTATCCTTATTGATCTGGAATGTCCTATTATTGTCTGAAGGCAGTCGTCACTCTTGTGATCTTCATGAGAATAAACCATTCACTGATTCACTAATATACGTTGTCCTACGGATCAGGAAAGGCCCAGAGAGGTCGGCCAAGCACTCCCTACAGTAGCCGCGTCCCGTAACATTCGGAAAACTCAGCCGATTTTGTCTTGTCGGACTACAATCGTTACAATGTCGGGACAGATTCTGCTGTATCGATTCAAAGCGTGATCATGTCCTGTGTTGTCTGGTCAGTGTCCTGTGGACGGGGAAGCTGTTGCGATGAACGGACATGATTTGGAGATATTTTACATTGCCGTTTCATGCCGATTGAGTCCAGGCCCTGATTTCTCGAAACAAACTTATGTCTGGGTTTTGACTTAAGTTAGAGTTTCTACTCAAGTTTGAGAAAACGCAGGAAAATGCATTGCCCAGAATGAACTGAAATCGATATTGAACTCAAACACAGTAGACAATTTGAGTTTGGTGGATAGATTACTTAAGTCGTTTTGGCTTTCATACTTTAAAAATGCAGTTGAGTTAAAAACTCAGCTGTTTCAATTGTCAAACTCAGTTTGAAATTTGAGTAAAAACTCGAGAAATTGCGTCCAGATCAACGTCGGTTCACTGTCCCGTCACTGTCTGATCTCTGTCGTGTCGCATTCGGAAGAATCGCGACGCTGTCGGAGCAGATTCGGTCGTTTTTACCATACGGAAGATTCAAATCGGATCATATAGGTATTGAGAACAGGAGAATCGGGACGCTTCCTGAAGAATATCTGATTGTTGTCGTGATTAAATAAAGTTGTAAGCAAGATGAATGACAAGTGGATGATCAAGTTCTCTATTGTACAATAGCGACGTTTCGGTATAGATGCTTATATAGTTTTCAAGCATGAAACGTCGATATTGTACAATAAAGTAGTTGATCATCCATACACACCTATCATTCCTACGTATCACAGTATCGTGATCCGACTTTTGACAATTTATAATCGGAAATGCTCCTATCAAGGACACTGGTACAAATCCTGTGTGAGGTTTAATATTGCCTATCAATAATGAAGTGTGCTGGTCCTGAATGCTGCAGAATTAATACATTTACCTACATTAATACATCAATAGTTATTATGTCATACTTTATTCTCTGTAGAACCTGGTTTGTGAAAATTGGTCCTTCTGTATTAACGTGTATGTTCTTGTGTAAACCAAGATGATTTACCTGAAAGTGAGTTTCATACCCATCCTCTGTCTGACCTGAAAGCGAGATGTCATGTCGATAAATTGATCACAGCCTCATTTAGTTGTGCGATACGGTTAAATCTCGTTGATATGAAAGGAAAGGTTTACATTGACTTAACACAGCAGGTTTTGTTTACCATTGCTCTCTGCAATATCTATTAATAAGCTATTTGGCGACAGTTTGAAAATGATCGAGGCTTGACCAGACAAACCTTGGTACGATGACATATAATTTAGTAAGCCTGGTCATACGATTCATTTTGTCGTCACTTGTGATAAGCTTTACAGAACCTATTATAAACCGGGATCCATACTCGTGAGTGAGTGAGTGAGTTTGGATTTACGCCGCTTTTAGCAATATTCCAGCAATATCACGGCGGGGGACACCAGAAATGAGCTTCACACATTGTACCCATGTGGGGAGTCGAACCCGGGTCTTCGGCGTGACGAGCGAACGCTTTAACCATTAGGCTAGCCCACCGCCCCTCCATACTCGTAGCGCACAGACATTGGTTACTCCAACATCATCACATGTTTGATTAATACACTGCTATTTCTCTCTCTTTGGTTTGCAGCATACAAGGGCAATAGACAACGGGTCGTCAAGCCGCTATCAACAATATTTCAGCTATGCATTCCTTAACGGTGTATTAACTATAACCCGATCCTGACGGGAGTAAGGGATGCAACTCTGTAGCTCTTACCTCTCGGTACCATTGCCACACCAGCATTACACAACAAAACGTGAAGTTTCCGCCCGGAGGACTTGAATGCCTCAATGAATTTCATCGTTGATTTCAGTGAAGCTAGGTCCAGCTGCATGAACTCTATTGGAAGTTTGTCTTCATTTATATGTCCCTCCTTAAGCTTGTCGTTTTTCCTGTCTTCTTGGTATTCGTCATTCATCCTTCTGATGGCCTGGAAGTGAAATATGCCGATTGGTGTTGAGGTAGGGGAAATAAAGTGTAAATATAGTATAATATAAAGTATAAATAAGTGTGTGCATACGTGCGTGTTTGCGTGATTAAGTACTTGTCTGAAAAGAAGCCAGTATGTGCTAGCCCGCTGAGATACCATGCTGCAGTTTAATACTGACAAGCTCACAGCCCTAGATAATTCTTAACTCTTAATTCTGAGAGTCAGGCAGATCAACAAGTATCCTCTGTTGGCGTCATTGGGTATGATGTAACCGGGAACCGAACCTGCTATCATCCTGGCAGACACGCTATCCACTTCACCATGGCGGCGGTCGACTATGGGTGGAACTACTATGGGTATGTATATCGTGTTACAGCTGTTACACAGAGCACAATGCCTTCGTTTTTCTCTGAATTTCCCAATTTGTTGTTTAACCGCCTGCTTAATAAGGGAAAATAAAATATTGTTTTAATTCTAAAATCAAATTCCTTTGATAATTGACATTGTGACATCATTCACACTCGTTTCTGCGTCTTGTTAAATGCTAATTCTTTTTTTCAGACCACACAAGGGAAAGAAAAACAAGCATTGTCACTAAGGTGACATAATCTCCCGCCGCAAATATCAAATCAAACTTATAAAGAAATGAAAGTTTAAGTTAAATGTCAACAAAAACATGACCAGTCAACCTCTCTTGATATCTTGCTCTTTAGGTGTTCAAACACACACATATTTTCAAGACTGACTTTGACCTTGACATGAATGTCGTATTGTATGAAATATGCAAAAATAGTACTAAAGAAATTGTTTATTGAAAAACATTCAAGGGAAGTCTTGAAAGTCAATGAAGAAAATCCAGTAAATCTTGAAATATCTTGCTGACAATTCAGGTTAACATGCTGAAATCTTCAAAGTGTCATCGTGACCCTGAAAATTACGTGAAGGTCACAAAATTGACTGGGTCCTGGGCCTTTCCTAGATAAAGCTTGGTTTCAAATATGAAGAAACTCCAGTTAATGATTCTTGAGGTATCTCGCTGACAAGCATAACATGCAGGTTAATATGCTGAAGAGTGTCTCTGTGACCTTTAAGGAGGGTTCTTAATATTTGTGCGCGTTTTAAGTCAGTAACAGTGTAACGAATATGCCTGTATGTCTTAGTGAAGAACAAGGTAACAGATGTGATAATAATCGATAACGACCAGCTGGTGACGTTTAGAGGGCCACATCATGTTATCGATGAACGAGATCGAAATCGAAAAGTCGAATATCTTTTCAATACTAGTATTATTTACGTTATTCAGGACCATGTCCATTAAATAATAATAATAATAATAATAATATATAGTATCAGTACAATTACATAATGGTCCTTGAGAGTTTCCATACCTTATGATGGAAGACACATATAGGTACATTCTTCACAAACCAGCTCTGTATAGTTTACATGAATTAGCATTGAATCAGTGAGCAGGATTCAGCGCCGGACTGAAAAGTATTTCAGATGCATTAAGAATGTAAGAAGAAGATCGGACGACGGATATAATGCAGGTGCCAGACATTTACCATCCTGTTGAAAACCACGAGCACGGATATAGTGTTAATAAACCTACAAGCATAATCCCGGTGAATATAAATTGTACACACGATGACAGCCTTCTTGAGCAAGGGACGCAACGCTACAAAGCGAACGGTTACACAAGCAACACAATAACACAGACACAAACTAAATACGACCCAACCCTTTCTTTAAAAAAATACATTGTTCTTCATTTGGCCCTCAACAATATAGACTATCAATAGGCAGTTCTTTAATCAATTACTGAGAGATAGATAGATGTCAACACACCTATACAGTGAAGATTTGACTAATGTTGACATCGGGGATGCATTTGCATTTAAAACAAAACGCCAACCAGAACTGAGATAGATACTCACATCGGTAGCTCTCTGTTCCGATCGACATGCTATGATAACCGTGGCTCCCATCATCGCGATGTGTTTAGCCGTCTCGTAACCAATACCTGGACAGCGATAGTATAGAACAACATATAACGGTATCATATCACACAGGTATGATCACAGGATGTGCAAAGTGGGTGAGGACTTTCTCGGCATTTACAAGAAAACTCAACATGGGCAGTACATATATACTGTTACGTTGTTAATGGTGGTATTTAGCTTTAATTTGAGCAATATGTTTCAGTTTGTCGTGGAAGCTTGAAAATTTGCAAGGAATGTGACAAAAACCGGACTTGAAGAGTTGCCACGCACACTACCATTGTCACAGACACACACATTATATACATACAAATTTACACATACACATTAGTTTATATAACTAATACAATATAGATAGGTACGTAGATAGACACACACACGCATACATACATACATACATACATACATACATACATACATACATACATACATACATACATACATACATACAAAATACATACATACATACATACATACATACATACAAAAGTACATACAAAAGTACTAGAATTTGTACGGTGGCTGAGCGGGTTAAGCGGATGACTTTGTGTGCTGGCGATTACGTGCCTGACCGTGAGGATTTCATTTCGAATCCCGGATGGGACTCAACCCAAAAAAGTACTAGAATCTGACAAAGTGTAATCCAAAATATAACATATGTTACACTTGACCACTTTCTAAATGGCATTGGGTAATATATCACACACACACACACACACACACACACACACACACACACACACACACACACACACACACACACACACACACACACACACACACACACGAGAGAATGTATACATTTGAATGAGCATTCACGTCGAATATTTAACCTCTGTTCACCTCGCCTTTCGATAACACGTCCACCCAAAGGGAGGTAACTGTTTATGTTCAAATGTTTCCTCCTGCGGAAACGGGGCTAAGTTACATAAACTGAGTTCTGGACATGTGTTCTCTCACACAGATTCATAACATTTACATGCTCTCCGAATGTCATTCATTGACAATCAGTACGGAGCAAACACGTCTTGTTACATCCACGATTTACAGAAAATGTAACCCTGCAAAATAGGAAGTAAACAAACGGATGCGAGAATTCTTAAAAAATGAACGAGAAACAACATGACGAATGATCACATGCATCAACACTCACAGGGGCGTGTCACGCCTAGAAACAGCTTTAGAAAGACATATAGGTATATAGACCCTACCCTAGTACTATATAAAAGGACTATATAGTACGAGGGTAGGGTCTATATACCTATATGTCTTTCTACGCTGTTTCTAAGCGTGACACGCACCTGTGTCAACACTTACCTGTGTTGCCGCCAGTGACCACGACTATTCTGTCCCTAGGGAGAGAGACAATGGGAAAACTGGGCGAGGAACCCATTCTGATGTTTACAAAATTTACAACCCACGTTGCTTTTTGAATATGCACGCAGCCAGTGTTAATTCAACTAGAGCCCATACACTGATTTAACATCCTGCTACTGGTATGAGTGTTATGACTTGCAGTGAGGTCATGTCGGGTTATCAAACCCTTCAATCCGTTAAATCTTCTGTCGTTATACCCAGTGCAGTATCGTCCTCGCAAATTGCCAAGTCTTCACATACAGGGCGATAAATGACCTATAAATATCCTGTAAACAACATCGGTGGTAAACGTTGCTAGCCTTCAAGAGTTGCCTCCCTTACATCATAAGCGAACAATAGTTTCCGTGAATATCTTCCAGTGTCAGTTCGTCTGTTGGGAATAAATTAGTCTTGCATTTCTGAATTGGTTCTAATTATATACTTTCGTATATAACACGTTATTTATTGAGAAATACTTGATCTGTTATTCATTGAGGTTATTACGTCATTAGACATCATTAAGTCCCTGCCACCAAGTGCTAGAGTTCTCGGGCTAGGTTCAGCTCCTCTTTATTGTGTTTGAGACTGCGTGTCACCTAATACGATCAGTGATGAAGAGAAGCTCAGGCCCATATATAACACAACTTGTGGCTTACAATGACAGGAAATTAGCAAGGAAGGCTGTTTTAACAACTAACACCGGGTGTTGGATGAAAATGATGAAAAATCTTGATAACCTGGTAGTAAAATAAGCATTTCCATTTAATGATAATCATTATTATTTTGCAACATGAGCATGACATGACATTGAGATAAGCTGGAAGACATCGATTTCCCTCTTTAGAAACACTTGATAGAATTCATCTTATATTTCTTTCTACAAACTGGGCATGTTCTTGAAGGATTATCACTTGCTTCCACCCTACAATCGTTTTTCTCGATCTAAACTGTCGAGCCAATGGCGTATACACTTAAATATTTGGACTCGGACAAATTACTACAAAGGTTTTAAAACGGTCCTAAGCTGTACATCACCCCTGTAATAAAGACATCACCAGTGAACGAGCAGTGATCAATCAATCAATCAGCCAGTCAATCAAGAGTTCAGAGTTATGTCTTGTTTTGGGGCGGGGAGCGGGGTGAGTTTAGGATTGGTTCGTGTGACTTTGTGAATACAACCCTAGATCCCTGCATGACGGGTGAACGCATTCATTACTAAATCGTGAACCAACTTTCCAAGGGTAAATGAGAGATACTACGAATGATAACACACTTGCAATGGTTTATCAATCCCAGAAGAAGTTAATTTGCAATCCTACTTAACCTCCACCCACCCCTCCGCCTCTCCTTCTACCCCCCTACCCTCCCCACCTAATCCCCTACCCTTCCACCTAACCCCATTCCCGTTACCTCTCCCCTTCCACCCACGCCTTCTAACCCACCCACTCTACATGTCCTCACTCTACCCGTCCCCTTCTACCCCTACTCCTACCCTTCTACCCCACCCCTGTTAACCCACCCACTTTTACCCGTCGCCTCCTACCCCACTCCTCTACCCCTCACCCACCCTGTTAACCAACCTCCCACCCGTCGCCTCCACTTCTACCCAACCGCATCTACCCCAACCCTCTACCCCACCCCTTCTACACCTCCGCTTCTACACCTCCAGTTCTACCCCATCCCAATCATCCAAACACCCGGAAGTGCTGATATCAACTATTGTCGCTTTAACACATCAGATAAAGGGCTTAACCAACATTGTACTGACACTATTTGCAAATACGGTGGCTTCGGTCATAATGAAACATTGATATTGTGCCTGGCCGTACATTGTACTGATATTATGCCAAGATTCGCCACTGGTCAACAAGACATTTAGTTTCAATATAGACTTAGTTGCTGGACTTACGGAATATACAGTAGTAAATCAGGACACTGCTGTTTGTTTTATTCCCAGTTTGTTGTGTTGCCTTGTTCGTCAAGTACATATTAGTGACAAAACCCGTTCAGCAAAATATCCTCCTGGGCTTCTCCACTGCAAATATACATCTCTCTACAAATAATAGTCACCCAGTTGTTTTGAACCAAGTAGTTTTTAGACAAAAGATACAAATGTATACTGGTAAATAATTCTAGATGTATGCTGTTCTTTACATGTTTACTGAACAAACTGAACACGTGAAAGGCCAAATACTACAGTGACGTCAACGCCCCAGTGGAATTATTTCCAGGAAAGACCCTGCAGCAATGCCTTCACCGTAATTATATATTTACTCTGGTCTTATGAACAAGGTTTGGGACATATATGTTAGTCGCATTAGTGTATAATCAGAGGTTTTACAAATATTTGGCAATATCACGGCGGAAGACACCAGAATTATACAGGCTTTACACATGATTGTGTGGAATCGAACCCGTTACAAACGGCTACTGACAGCACGTGTGTGACATCTATCAGAATAAAATACCTTGAATGGCCAGACACGATAATAACGATTACCGTTATAACGTACGTATTGTTTGTCTTTAGAGGTGACTAACTTGGTTGAAGCACGTTTTCGAATCCCAATCGTAGATCGATGCTCATGATGTCAGTCACTGGATTGTCTTGTAGAGACTCAATTATTTACAGACCGCCGTTATATAGCTGGAATATTGATAAATGCAGCGTTAACAACAAACACACCAAACATTAAGGGATACGTCCTCGACGTCCCGCCTTACGACCTATCGTCGAATGTTGTAATGTCTGTCAGCCTCGGTTGTGGTGGAATTTGTGTTTTACAGAGGAGTGTACCTTTAACATATCCCGTAGCTCTTGACGTTAACGTGTCTACTGACGTCATGGGGAGTGTTTTACTCATGTTTGTGTCGTAGGGAGGAATCGCTTTGGGGGTCGTTTCGTGATGTTTTGGGGTGGGATAAGTGCATGTCAGAGAACCCATCTAGTTGTTGATCAGGGTAGTTTGACAGATGTGGGATACACAGATCAGTTTCTATGGCAATTCCGTTTATTCAACAAAATGGCCTACGGCTGACATTCCCACAGGATGATGCCCGTCCTCACACGGCTAATGTTCCTATTGCTTTTCTTCAACAACACAATGTTCAAGTACTGCTTTGGTTTGCAAATACACCGGATCTCTCCCCTACAGAGCATGTGTGGGACGAATTAGAGCGACGTCTACCCTGTACCGAATCCGCAAGATAACGTTCGTGGTTTTTGTGATATAGCATTCCACAAGCTTCCATGCCCGTTTGACAGTCTCTATACGTCGGTGATGTAATGTGGTTCTTCTCAACACCCGTTATTGAGTTTGTAACTCTGTTGCTTGGTCCCTGCCCGCATTTGGGCTCAATGCATCAATGCCATTAAACGTGCTGTTTTGCCGTCTTTAATATGATCTCAATATCAACCTATTAAATTTTACATTACATTTTTTCATTGCAGTTAGATTTTCAATTTTAGAGAGAATCTTAGCAATGCACAGTTTCTTTTTTTTTTCTTTTTGTGTTTGTTTGTTGCTTGTATATAATACAGAATTGTAACGTGCACTGGTGATTGCGTAAATTGCATTATTTTTAAAGAGAAATAATGTTTCAGCGCTTGAGAAGTCTGTTTTAGATATTGACTTTTCTGACAAATATGACGTAGAATAGTACGTGTGAAATTGGGTTAATGCATTTTTTTCTAGATCTGTTAACCCTTCAGAGATTCAGACAATGAAACTGTCCTCATTGCCCGATGTAATCCGTAAATACGAATCGGTTTGCTCGGTGTGAAATCTGATTCCTTGAATCGTTGTTCATGCCGTCAACCACTGGTACGTCTCACACTTTAACAGTGCACACTGTGGAGTGAAACACCACTCATTCTGGAGATGGTGGAACAATTTAAGGATTATTATGTACATGTAGCTTGCTGTGACGTTTTATGTAATGAATACTTGAATTCCTCCGCCTATATAGGAGAAAAAACATTTTTTGAGCTTTAACTTTCACTTTTAAGGGTGCTATTGAGAATTTGATATGAATATTTGAGTTCTTTTTTTGTGCGTTTTTTTCCACGTGAACCGCAAATACTATGCATGACGTCAGTAAGGAAGCAATAATGCAATGACGTCATATCCTTCCGTGAAACTCTACCCAGAAAGCAGAGAAGAGAAAGACAACTAAATCGGAAGTGCGCTGTTAAATATTGATTTTCTTTTAGGTTTTCAACCAATCAGATTGCAGCACGCACACGCACGCGCCCGCACGCACACGCACACACACACACACACACACACACACACACACACATTCTACATATTGCGTGCCTGAAGCCTCGTCATAATGGATCATATCTCAAGCAAAGCATTTGAGAACAAAGCATTTCAGAGCCAACATTTCGGAGCAAAGCCCCTTGAAGGTTTTCCATGGAGACACACCCAAAAAGAAAGATTCAAACAATTTGGTGACTTTGTTTAATTTACTTTCCTTACAGGAAACTACCATATGTAGTTCAACCATACCTAAACATTGGCGTCATTCATAATCGCAGTTCAATGAGATTTCAAGATCTTATTAGAAGCGTTTCTTTATTTTCACAGTATGTTTTACGGAAGATCGGATGAATTAGGTAAAATAACGGTTTTCTTTCTCACACATATTTTACTTTTAATATCAAATATCTTGATCCACTCAACGTTTCAACCAATCAGGAGAAGACATTTTATCCAAAGTAAGAAAAACAATATCATTAACCGTTTACTGCAAAACTAGTGTGGAATTGACATCTTGCCTCTGTGAAATAAGGGTCACCACTAAACCTGTTTTGATATGAATTCCTAGTTTGAGATAGCAGGTACCTTTTCGTTAACAACTGGATATCATGACAAGCCAGTCATGAACACAAACCCATAACAAAGCCGAAATCGTACACTGAACAAAGTTTGCTGATAATCATGGAAAAACTATTCTCACTTCTGTGCCACGGGCTGAGTAATTCGCCATGAGATTTCGCCATCAAGGCCAGACACTTAAAGGAAAGTTGATGTCTGCATTGTTTTTTTCTGCAAAAGAAGAAGAGTTAATGTGTTAGGCTGGCCCGCAAATCCTATAATTTGTTACCCACTGAAGACGTCTGGGATGAAATGGAGCGACGTATACGTTGTCATCCGAATGCTGCAACAACACAACAGGAACTCCGTCATCAATGTTTAGCGGCCTCGATGAGGCAAAGGTGCCAGGCTGTATGGATGCACAAGGTGTACACACTCGTGTGTTAAGGCTCATTTGCATATACCCAGATGCGTTGTTCTTTGGACTCTTCATCGTTACTA